GGAATGGAACCCAAGTATAAATATGAAACTCATTTGTTTTAACATTTTTCCCCAAATCCCTATACACATAGCCTGAAGTTAATTTTATAAAAATAGTTCTTATTTTTACATAACTGAGAGGCAAAAACAGAATTCCCAATTGCTGGCTCATTTCCCAAATGCACAAAATGGACAGGGCTGGGCTGAGACTGAATCAAGAGCCTAGAATTCAGCCCAGGTCTCCCACATTGGGTAGTGGACCCACATACTTGAGCCATGACCTGCTTCCTCCCAGGGCTGTACTCGCAGGAATCTGGAATCAGGAGCAGGAGCTGGTATCACACCCAGGTGTTCCAATAGGGCACATGATTGTCTTAATAACTAGGCCAATCACCTACCCTATGCAACATACATAACGCTGGGCATGAAACAAAGTGTCGTGGTGGGGAGTTTTCCACTTGTGACAGGTTGGCACTGAATACTTCAATCTTTGGATTAGGGAGGCTCAATATACAGCCTAACACAGTATTGTGTCAGGCACTTTCCTAAGAATTTTATATACATCTCACTTAATCGCAATTCTAGGGATAGATAACTTAAATTACCAGTTAGGGAAATGAGATACAGAATAGTTCAGTAATTAGCTGAAGTTGCTTCCTATTGTATCTTCATTACAGAACCTAAATTATTGAATATTTATACCTGAATCACTACTCAACCCTCCTTTTTCCCTAACACATTTTCCCCCAAATCCCCAAACCTCCACCAAATACCTTCCATCCTTCATGCCTGTGCTAAAGAGAAACATGGTCACATTTTTCTGCAAATATGCATTGTGACCTGATGAACTTAAACTTCAGACATAATTTACAAGTCAGGTTTCATATTAAAAATCTGATTTATAGCCACTGGGATTTAATTTAGAATTTTACCAGGAATTCCAAAGCTCTCCAGGTAGCCCCAAACTCTGAATAAAATCCTACTGACCTGAATAGACAGGTCGTGCTCTCTCCATACTGTTCTACAGTTACCATCAAAGTATACCAGTTTCACTTACTTATTTTACTGACTTGACCCGAGAGCCTTGCCAAATTACCCTAAAACCATCTTTTGTCTACCCAAATCCCACCTAGCCATCAAGAATAAGATTAAATGTCACCTCCTCTCATAAATGTTTTAATTATTGCTGCTGAATCCCTAGCATTTTGCTTGTGTATCGTGAAAACCACACTCTCCCTTACTGGTACACATGCTTTCCTATGAACTAAGTAGAAACTCTAAGGCAGGGTTAAGTGACTTCCATGATCCTGGGCAACAAAATTGGTCACAACATCCTGCGTTGTAGGATTTGAGCTATACATAAACAAAGGAGCCTGCATCAGTACACTGAAAAAGTGGAAAGTGATTTTATACACAGACACACACACACACACACACACACTATTCACTATTCATGGCCTTTCAGCCTTCTGCTTAAAGAAAAATCATGAGATAAAACTTCTGATGGATGTGTTGTTATTTTTTTAATAAAACATCACTTCATTTGTTACAGTGAATAGTAAATGAGAGGCAATCATTCAAGAGGGCTGAAGGAAGCTTTTTCACCCACAAAATAACACAAAGGACAAGTACTCTCACCACCATGCTTTTGCTTCTGTTTTTCTTTTGACCTCTGTTCTCTTACATCAGTCTGCTGCTTCCAGAATGGCATTCTTCCTTCAAATTTTGTATGTGTTAGAAGGCTAGTCTGTTAGCTTGCTTTAACAATATGATAACGGTCCCCGAGTTAGCTGAGGAACCTGGACAAGTCTTCTTTGATTTCAGCTTCATCCCAAGGCCCATGAATATTTTCCTTAAAAAGCTGCAGGCGAATGAGGTAGAAAGGGCAGAGACACGAGATGGAAATCAGCAGAAGGGCAAAGAGTATGGCTCCCACAACACTAATGGACAGCAGGCCTCCCAAGGCTGAAAATGCAAAAAGCAGTGTGACCCCCACATAACTGCGGGGAGTACGTGCCTTCAGTTTCTTCTGCAACATGGGCCACAGGGCAAAAATCTGGATGGCAAATGTCACCATGATGAAGGCATGCAGGGACCGGGGAAGGCGTGAGGCTAGGCAGACAGAAGCGAAGATGGCCATGTTCAAGGACAGTGTGCTGGACACAATGGCAGCATTGGCACCATAATCGAAGAAGATGAGGTGGCCTAAGAGCATGAAAACAGACATGGCATAGATGGTGTCAGTGCTGACAGATTCTGTAAGGGTCTTTAGCACTGGTGAAAAACCGTAAGTGAAAGTAATGAAAACCAGAGCACTCTTCAGGTCAGCCCACCGGGTCCGCCCACTCTTCTTCCGCCCTTCACCTCCATCAATGAGATCGAACAAAACGTACCCAATCAATGAAGAAGCCAGGCCAGTCCCAAAAAGCCAGTGAGGTGCCAGAAGACCCTCATCCATATACCACCAAATAACCACAAAAACACAGACACTGCAGAGCTGCTGTACCACAACACTGGACTCAAATACCACAGCCCAGTATTGGTATTTCCGGGCATAGATATTTTTCCGGAGCTCTTCCAGGAACCTCCGGTCCACGTAGTTATCAGGGAAAGGCTGTCGCTCATATAAGACCTTCTGCCACCTGACCTCCTTGGTGTTAGTTACAGGTTGGGCACACATTATCCTCTCCTTCACTCAGGCCAGTTCAATCTCCCTTGCAGAAGTCCATGTGTTCTTGCTCTTTATGAAGTTTTGAAGTAAGACCTCTCTGGAAATTCCATGCTGCGCTGTGGCTGATATTCTACCGACCTTTCCTTGTTTTCAAAGGCAGCAACCCAGGCTAGGTCTGCAAAGATGAACTGGTTCTCTGAGGCAGGAAAACACAGCCAAGTTCCTGGAAAAGGAGAGACTGTGAATCTATACAAGTTGCAAAGCTAAACCAATTCGGTTGACTAAGTCTCAATAAAACGTATGTGGTTGCCACTTATAATATGGAACATTAAAACTATTCATATTTTAAAGTGTAATACTTTGAATAATAATTATCTGTTAGCTTCAATTACTGAATGCCTACTATGCACTCAGTGCCTTATGCACTTAGTGCCTTATGCACTTTTAATCTTCACAACCTTACATGTTAGCATTAGTTCTACTTTAGTTAAAAAAAAAAAAAAAAAAGCTCTGATGTATCTTTGGCTCAAGTTAACAGACTGGTAAGTAATGGAATAAGTATTCAAACCAAGTCTAATCCCAACGTGTGTGCCTTAGACCTGAGCTCCCTCTAAACTGGTAACTCAGGCATTCACAAAGGGGACACAGCATGTCTGCATCTGGAATTTACGCAAACTCCTAAGGACAGAATCCAGTTTCTACTGAATTCCCCAAAGCATGTTTTTTTTAAGCTACTGGTATAAACACAATAATAAACTGCACAAGGAAAGGCATGAGTTCTATGGTTTATATAAGCCAAAACCAAGGACTCAAAGGACCTAAGGATTCTTCATCCATTAACTGAGCTTAACATCCCTTAATAGCTATCATCCTCCTTAGAACAAGGACACGCTGGTGAAGAGCAAAGGAAATAATCATCTTTTTTCACAAAGGGAAAAGGAAGAGTCAGAAATTCCAAGGGCATCCAGCAAATCTGAGAAAAAGTTCTTACTGCCCGACCTTATTTCTTCCATGAAGACCACCATAGGTTTTGCTTCGCAAGCCCGACACCCTGTGAGCCCCCCTCACTGCAGCACGGCCCCCAACCCAAGCATCTCACGGCTGCCGGTCCACGGCCTGGAAAAGTGCAAGGCACGCCAGCAGGGTCAGGCTGGACCAGGGTGGGCTAGCGTACCGCAGGGCAGGGTGTCCCCAGGGGCGCCCCACTCGCCCTCCGGGCCTCCCCTGCCCGCCGCCGCCCCTCAGCTAGCCTTGCGCTAGCAAAGGACGACAGAGGAGGAGGAGGCCGGGAAACTACAGCCCACGGGGGACCCACCTGCCCACGAGTTCCTAGGGCTGCACGGCCGGGGGAGGGCGGCCGCCCGCCTCCTTCCCCATCCGGGGCGCCGGGGTGAGACTGCGGACGAGCACTTCCGGGTCCGCCGCAACCTCCGCGATGAGAGCGCCCTTCCCCGCCGTGGGCGCCGCGAGGCCTCTGCTGCCCCCTGCTGGCTGCCCCCTCAGAGCCGCCCAAAGCCCGACGCTCCGACCTTGGGGAAGCGGGACCTCGATGGAAACCCCAGGTATTACTCATCCGCAGAGCTGGGTGAGGCCAGAGGAGGCCGGGTTAGAGGCGGGGCTGGTAGGAGCGGGAGATCCGTCGCTGTCGTTGAGAGCTTGTTGAGTCAGACCGTCAGCTAGGGCCTCCGGTGAATCCATGCCCTCCTGCGACAGTTGCTCGCCGAGCCCTTGCAGACACCAGGCACTAGTTTGGGAGTCCAGGGAACAGACAAAAATCCCTCCTGCTGTGGGTCCTGGTTTTTTGTGTATTGCCTTGTACATTATGATGTAATCTTTCATGAGGACAAATTTAAGACTGGAAGTATTTGTCCAAAATCAGGCAGCTGGGAAGTGGACGGCCTGAGAGCAATGCCCAGTTGTCTGTCTGAAGATTCTGGTTCTTTCTTCCTGGCCTCCTTGAGAGGAGAGAGAGCAGAGGACCTTGTGTCTGAGAACAGCCAGAGGCTAGGAACAGGAGAGGGCTAGTATTCCTGTTTAAACAGATGCAAGTGCTAGAACAGCAAAAAGGTAGAACACAGGACATAGTGGACCCAAAAATCGGAAAACAGAAGCACGAGCTGTGTGGGACTCTAGGCAAATCACATGACCTGAGCTTAGATTTCTTCCTCTGTAACATGGAGTTCACACCTCTCACTCTTGGCTACCCTAAGGGATTTTTTTAAGTCCAATATAAAGTGTAAAAATGTTTTTGTGACATGTTCACTGTATCTAACTGCATTGAGCTTACGATAGCAATGATCAATCATGTGTGATGAATTCTGAAAAATCCTTTCTTTCTACTTCTTTCCAGGCTTCGGTTCCAAAATTTGACAAGGTTCCTTGGCCTGGTGAGGCCAGTCTCAGAAACAAGCCGTTAGTGCTCAGCCTTCCCAAAAGGTAACGGCTCAGCCACTGGGGGCAAAAGGTTCAAGAAAGGCCTCACAGAAGGTGATTTATTAAGGGATGAGGGCAGTTATCTGAAGGGCACTTCTGATCAGTTGAGAGACTCAAGTCTACTGCTCAAAAAACAAAAAGAGTGGGCATTCAGAATAGCCTGGCTAGAAGGGCTAACACCCCCTCTCTGCCACCAACCATGTAATAATGGAAGAGGATTTGTCCTCTAGATTCTGCCTCTCAAAAAACACTTCTCTCCTCTTCCTCACCGCAGCTCTTCCCCTATGCTTTAATTTGAAATATTCAAATTTTAACCATCAAAAGTTTAAAATTATAAATTCCCCTACTATTCAAATTTTAAAAAATAATTTGTGTTTATTTGAAAGAGAGAAAGAGAAGGAAGGAGAGGTATCTTCCATCCACTGGTTCACTCCCAAAATGCCTGCAACAACCAGGGCTGGTCCAGGCTGAAACCAGGTGTCTGGAACTCAATCCAAGCCCCCCATATGGGTGGCAGGGACCCAAGTACTTGAACCATCATTTGCTGCCTCCCAGGGTACACATCAACAGGAAGTTAGAATCAAAACCAGAGCCAGGACTTGAACCCAGGCACTCAGATATGGGATACAGGAGTCTCAAAAGGCATTTTAACTGCTTTATCAAACACCCAAGCCATAAATTCTTATCTTTATGGAGTAGCAACTACCTACATTTAATTCTAAGACACTCTTCCCAAATCTTGTTATCCTCACCCTTTCCAAAGAAACTGCAGTATTATACCTATTTCTATTTTTCAGAATTGGAGAAATGTGTGTATAAGGAGTCCTTTAGCCACCACTTGCAACAACTAGGGTTCCTCATTTCTCCCCCATTTTTTATCATGTGCTCCCTAGGTGTGGAACCCTGCTTTAGAAAGGGCAAATGGAAAGAGGGGTAGATTGAAATGATGTGGGGGTGTATGGGAGAAACCAGAAGAAGGGCAGGAGAGTGGCAGGCCTGGAGGCAGTGTCACAGGCACGTCATAGACCAAAAAGAGGGTTGGTTCCCTGGCATGTGGAGCAGCTTTCTAGAAAAGTACTTTCCAAAAAGAGTTTTCCATTGCTGTTGCTAACTGCCACGTAACCTCCTTCCCATGGATAGTCACTCCATGAGAGATATCGGTCACTTTTTCCACACCCCCACTTCAATAACAAACATGTTTGCCTTGTCCACTGCACTAAAAACCACTTAATCTGCAGGCAATCAGTTCGTTTTGTGTATTTTCAAAGCAAAGTACACAAGTGCTTTCAAGTGCCTGTTGTTCAGTTGTAATATTTTTATGTAACTTTGAATATATCTCAAGCAGTCATTCAGAGGTTCAATCCAGCCAAAGGATTGTTCAGGAACTAAAAACACTACGTGACATTGCTGTTATTAAGAGTTGTTAGCACTTTAAGGGTCAGCACGAGTAATGAGAGCATAGCACCTTTTAATTCAGGGCGGAGTACAAACAGCTAATGACAGTCAGATGGGTGCTGTCATGAGTAGAGCTAATCAAGGAGGGGTTAAAGGGACAGCCTGCCCTCAACTCCAATCAGTATTGCCTGCAGGTGTGTGAGTCCAGGATCCAAACCTGCTGAGTTTTCTGACTGCTAGTCATTAACATCTAACAAGGCAACATCCACCACCCCCATAGTATCACAAGCCCTTTATATCTGCCCCTACAGCCAGGAGCCAAGTGTTCTTATCCATTGCTCCCTTGCCCCCCCCCCCCCCCCCGTGCCTTCATTATACAAGCCTTTGGTAGAGGGTGGGGAGCAGAGAGCAGAACTTGAGAAAGGCAGGCCCAGAGCACAGCTGGCGTCCACAGCACCTGTTCACTCCAGCAGCCAGGTCCTGGCATGTCAGGGTCAGCTGTCCATCAACAGCCAGCTTGGGAGGGAGGGGATGGCTTTCCCTCCAGCCGGCCAAACATGAGCTGGTCTCAAGGAGAACATGCTTAAGGTAAGCAGAGATGTTCTACTCATTCTCCCACTTAGAGGATGGGAGCTTACCTGCCCTGTGAGACTTCTAAGACAGCACCCATGAGGTGACCAGACCCGCCAAGAGGATAACACAGGAGTGCAAAGTCTTTGGAAAATTTGCTTTACTGAACTATCAACAGTTCGCACGGATCTAGCCAAAGCTTTGTGTTCCAAGCTGTTTATTTTTAGCAAAACCCTTTCTAAGACCTTTAGGGAAAGTTCTCACTGTGCCATAAGTATTGCATAGCCTTGGGCAGACTGGTCTGAAGAAATTTGCCCGGAGCACAGAGGGTGGTGAAAGCCCATCTGTGGGCTGGAGGAGGGTGGGTCAGCCTCTGCTGGCAGTTGCTTGGAGACCCTCTTCCTCTGAGGTTGACCTGGCTATGCTAAAGCTATACTCATCATCAGCCTCCAAAGCCCTTCAGTTCACCATGAAGCCCTTTTTATACTGAGATTATTGCATGCTGAAGCAGTTCTACTTCAGCCTTGTGGTCTCTGCTGGTGAGCTCTTGGGTAACAAGTTCAAGATATCCCATTCCCATATGGAAGACAGACATAAAGGAGCTCATGGGCAGAGCCACCACCCCTGGTCTCCCAGGGCCCGGAGAAGTTGCTGAGGAGAAATGAAACAGCAAATATTTCACGATCACCAAGCCCCTTTCACATGCCTTTGCTTTCAGTGGTGCTGTGGTTGTAGCATGTAAAGCTACTGCCTGCGACTCTAGCATCTCATCTCAGGTTCATGTCCCAGCTGCTCCACTTCTGATCCAGCTCCCTGCTATAGGCCTGGGAGAAGCTGTGGAAGATGGCACAAGTACATTAGCCCCTTCCACTCACATGGGAGTCCCAGATGAAGCTCTTGGCTCATGGCTTCAGCCTGGCCCGGCCCTGGCCATTGCAGTCATTTGGGGAGTGAACTAGCAGATCTCTCTGTTTTTCCCTCTCTATCTCTTCCTCTCTCTCTCTCTGTATCTCTTTCAAATAAATAAATATTTTAAAAAATAAGTGAACCATGGACAATAAAATCTTTACTCAGTAGAGAGATTTTCTTGGCAAAACTACCGACATCTCTGGTTCCCATTTCTTGGTTGTCAGGGCCTTGACCCCTTACACTGTACTAATATGCACCGCAGTGGTGAGCGAGGCAGGCCACCCTGTAAAGAGAACTTATGGTGTCTCTGCAGCATCCCTGCTTCCCTAGGAGGAAAGAATGTTCCAGGGGAAGAGAGCAGTGGAGGGGAAGGACTTGTTCCCGGCAGGAAGCAGGTGGCCTGCAAGTGCAGGGACATATTGTCCTAGGCTACAGAGGATGGGCGCTGCTTAAACATCAAAGATGTCCCAGAGATGCTCCCTCACGAAGGCAATCTGGATTGCCCTTCACTAGTTACACCTCTGTAGGAAACGTTTTTGTTTGTTTGTTTCCTGCTTTCTTTGTATACTGTCTGGCAATCCAGAACTGTCATTGGTTAATTCAAAACAAATGAGACAGAGAAGCCAAAGTGACTTAGGAGAGCAAAGCCATCTGTTGAGAGCTCCTAAAGTCCAGAGCCCCGCAGGACTGGAGGAGAAGACAGCGCCAAGGCTAGCTCACATGTTCCATCTGGAGTGCTCAAGGGCCCAGTTCTCCAACCCAGGGGCCTTGATTCTAACCTACTCTTGTTTTGATCACTTAGATCTCCACATTCCTATGCCATTTTTCCGACTTCATCCAAGGATATGAATTTGTCAATTCTGTTTCACGTTCCAGATGTCTTCTCTAAGGTACTCAAAAAAATTTGGTTTTAATTGAAATAAAAGTAGCAGGACTCCTAGGGTTACATAGAATGTGAAGACAACTCTTATGTCCTTAGTGCTGTGCTTAGTACATCACTCAGGTTCCATAAATGTTTGTTGGTGCCACCCCTCACGCTGTTTCAGGTGCCTCAGGGCCCCGGTCTGCTGCAACTAAGAATAAAGGCATAAAGTTGGCATCATCAAAAATAGAACAAGAAATTAAATATGCAGAAATCTTCCCAAGACCTTCAGGGACTTCTCAACCTGGCCTGGAACCAATCCTCATTTCTGGACTCTAACTCCTTCCCACAACAAATTACCGTTATCTCCCAACCTTCAACAGTCTACACTCATGCAAACCCTTCCTTTTCCGCCTTCTCACAGAAACCAGCCATGACTGGTTGGGGGTGGGGGGTTGACACTCAGTGGTGCTGGTGACACTGGGGTTGCAGTGACTGACAATGTTTGTGCAGCTGGCACACTCCTGAGGTGGAGAAGGAGAGAAAACACTCGGCCACATTAGCAACTTCTTCACCTGAAACCTTACCCAGCACTCACAGAGCTGCCATCAGCAATGCCCTAAGCAGTGCCTGACCCCTAATGAGCACTCAGCAATGTGCACCACAATGACTAGGAGCCCTGATGTCAGTCACTGAGTGCTTACCAAGCCCTTTTTATTGGCTGTAATACAAACAGAGATGAGTAAGTCGGGGCAGCCCACACAAGTGGGCGGAAGGGAAAGGTACAGAGAGCCCAGTGGAGATCAAAGACCTTGGGAGAAAAGGTGGGACGGGAGGTTGCCTGCAAATGAGGAGGGTGGGCAGCGACGGAAGGGAGGGCGCAAGGGGACGCGTCAGGAGGAAGCTGTGTCTGCACTGCATCCTGAGCATAGCACCCTTGCAACGGGGGGGAAGAGCCAGGACAGAGAAAGAGCTAAAGAAGAAATATCATCACAAAGAGGTGGAGCTCAGAGTGCAGGAAGTGCTGGAAGCACATGAAAAGGTGGATCGCAGTCTTGTGTGGATGGGAACCAAGGATGGGTGAACCTGGCTAGAGGACCTAGGGCCGCAAGAGTCAAGAGTAGCAACGAGGCATTGCCGGTTTTCAGCACTGGACTGTCAGGGTCTATGCTTAAGAGTTGCCTCATTAACGTAGGCAACAGTGGCATCATGACACTCACTAGCACAGGACAGGGGAGGGGCGATGAGTGGGGTGGGTAATTGCTCCCAAACCGGCTTCTAGTCTCCTTGAATGTCCTATTTAGACAGGCTCTCACCTGCCACAGAATGCTTCCTTGTCCCAGGTTTTCGCTGGTTCTCAGTGCATGATGTCAACCCAGGCACTTAGCATCCGCCAAGCTAACTGTGCCAGAAGGCCAGAGAGGAAAGCATTACTAATGACCAAGGGAAGTGAGAGGCCATCTGCAGGCCGGCTTAGCGTTTCACGGCTGCAATACTCACGACTGGCCACTAGATGACATTTGAGAGCAGCCGCTTCTAGCTGCTTGGCTGTTAGGCTGCTTGGGAGGCCAGTGGCCGGCAGATCTGGGAAAAGTCACACGTCACCGTTCCTGCTAGAAGAGAACACAAGTACTTCACCCTCATCCTTTTCCTGTTGGGGGCTGACCCTCCACTGGTTTGTGGGTGAGAAAGAGAGTCACCCTTGCCTGATGGCAAACCTGAGATTCTTGTTCTGTTGCAGCACCAGGTGGGTATCTCCTGTCAACTCCGTGTCTGACTCACAGGCCTCTAGAGTGCTGGGAGCCCGGCACGTGTATCCCAGGTGGCAGCCACGGGCTCAGCCTGCAACTGCTCCTTTCTGGAGAGGAATTATACTTGTGCCTCACAGGAAAGGAATGCACTGTGGACACCCTATCTCTCCCTTCAGTCGCTAAATCAGGGAGCTGCCAAGAAGCTATACTAGCAGTCCTGCCACGAGCTGGAGTCCCTCGACCCTGTGTGTAGGTGCAAAGGTCCTGCCACCTGGCTCCCTTTCTGTTCAGCATCACAGGTCAAAGGGCAGAACTTTGTACGACTGCTTCCAAGTGGCATTCCTCCCTGCCTAGGAGCAGACACAGGTGTACTCAGACATGTGCCAGGAGCAGTATCCCTGATGAATAAGCAGCGGAAACAGGGGCTCAGGGACACAGTGACGCTGAGAGGGAGACAGGTGGCCAGAGAGGGACACATGCGCAGAGAGGTAGGAAGACAAAGGGGAGCAAAGAGACACAGAACCAACCAAGAAGGAAAAAAATTAGTGAAGACAAAGAAATGAAGCTCAAACGTTTCCTCATCTAAACACTTGCCAGGGGAGGTTTTCTCATCGGGAGTTTCACCTGCCATTTCCAGGCATCAACCCCGAACTTTTCAGAATGCCGTGGAATAGGAAGATGTGTCATACCAGTCCAGATACTGGGCCAAGAGGTGACAGACTTGGCAATCCACTGCAAGGCCAAAGCAGGTGTATAGCTGACGGGGAGACCTGCAACTGGAGACCCTAGAACTCCATTGCCTGTTTGCTGGGGCTGGGTGTAAATTAGCTCGAGCTCCTTAATTACTAATAGATTGCAGAATGCCCCCTCCCCTCGATTCCTCTCTTCCCCTTCCCTCTTCTCTCTTTTGTCTGGGTTTGTTGCTCCAGGCTAATGAGTCAGAGTAAAGAGGAGGACATTATTTATTTGGGTCTGAGCAGACCTGTGGTGAAAGGCTCTGCCTGAAAAGACCATGCAGTAGCAGATGCACAGCAGGGAAAGTGTACGGGAGGGTGACTTCCGATTTCCTTCCCACTAAGAACTCTATTATTTCTCTGACATTGATCCTGTGTCTTGAAAATTTGTGAGCACCAAGAAATTGCCTGGTAAGCTCCTAAGCCCTTTTCCTGTTCATGTTGATCAAACACCTAATGACAAATACAGTTTTGAAGGAGAAGTAATAATGTCCACCATTGGCCTGAAGAAGGGATGCCAAGTTGAGTAAGGGTGCACATGACCGTCTATTTTGTGTGTTTAAAACTTCCGTAGTGAGCAGCAAGAATGTTTTCAAAACTATATTCGGCTTTATTCTTTCACTGAAATGGCTGGTGGTTTCAGAAGGAAAGTGTGTAGTTATCATACTTTTTGTTTTTGAGTATTGAACTAGTTCTCTGGCTGCTGCATTTTGGACTCTGTAGGGTATAGGAATAGTCTGACTTCACATGGCTCCTACCACTCCACTCACCCACTGAGCAATGGTTTCCTCGTCACCTTCACAGAAGGAATTGTGCTAGGTGACCTCAGAAGGTGACCTATAGGGTCTCAAAGAAATCAGGAGTAGAAGGGGGTAGAGACTAGAGGTGTCAAAGGGCTACAAGGTCAAAGGTAAATTTGTCAGCGCTCCTCAAATCATGTGTGTGATGCCTATTTTTAAAATCACCATCTGGTGCTTACATTTTTGGTTTCTGTTATGTGAACAGGTGTGTGGGGCAAGGGGAGACAGGGAAGGACAGAGAGAGAGAGGAAGAGACAATGAGAGAGGGAGAGAGGAGCGTGTTTCTCTGCTTCTTTATCAAAGATTCAAGGAGACCAAGGGTTTGGACTATGAACCAGCTTTAGGAACCTCAGCAGATATTGTTCTCAGCTATTAAGATGTTCCGAGTTACAAAATGTGCAAAGCAAGCTTTGGCTTCTGGGGACTGGCTGGAATCGGCATCATATCTCAGTCAGACCACAAACAGGTTGCTGTCACTCTCCTGTCACAAGTGCATTTGCTGTCCTGAGGACAGCTGCTTGGGAAATGAGAGCCCCATTAACATATCAGGGCCTCTGGCTCCAGAGATAATGTAACCAGGGGCTTATGCTGTTAATGTAGCCAGTTCACGCCTGTTCCTGCTACTGCTGCTGAGCTGGCCTTAAAGCAGCCCCCAGCAGGGAGGGAATGCTCAGAAGGAAGAGTCCTTATTTTCTGTGCTACGCAAGAGAGCAAAAAAGGATGGAGGAAATGAGGCTGACAGAACGTAGGCTCCCAGACTATTTGCATCAACTCAGGAGGGGTTGGAGTCACTCTGATTGGAGGTGAAGCTTTAGTCAGCAGTGACCTGGAGGTGGGGCACTGCCACAGATCCCCTCTGCACGTGCAGCCTGGGAATCGTTAGAGCTTCTGCCTCTTTTTGGCCACAGGGCTCATCAGCAGTAGGGGATCATTCACCAAAGTCACTCAGGGTGCTCATGCAGAACTCTTCAGGCTCACAGCCAGTGCTCTTGCCAGCACCTTAGGTAGAATGAATTTGTTACACTGCGACACTAATGTTCTGTAATGTTTCCTTAAGACAGCACTGTGATGGTGATCTGCATGCACATGTGTATTGTGCATGTGTGTTTATAGCTGTATATTAATAATCACGATAATATTTATACGTGATAACTTAAATGTTCACAGTTACTCATTCATCCGGCGCCATGGCTCACTAGGCTAATCCTCCGCCTAGCCGCGCCGGCACACCGGGTTCTAGTCCCGGTCGGGGTGCCGGATTCTGTCCCGGTTGCCCCTCTTCCAGGCCAGCTCTCTGCTGTGGCCAGGGAGTGCAGTGGAGGATGGCCCAAGTGCTTGGGCCCTGCACCCCATGGGAGACCAGGAAAAGCACCTGGCTCCTGCCATTGGATCAGCGCGGTGCGCCGGCCGCGGCAGCCATTGGAGGATGAACCAACAGCAAAGGAAGACCTTTCTTTCTATCTCTCTCACTGTCCACTTTGCCTGTCAAAAAAATAAAAAATAAAAATAAAAAAGTTACTCATTCATTCAAACAAATTTGTTGGATAGTGTGTGTCACATTCTACAGTAAGTTCCAGGGAACACAAAGTATAAGGCATGACTCTTGTTCAACCTTATAGAGGAAACAAATACACTTGAAGTAGGAGGACGAAAGGTACAGAATGCATAGACAGTTATGATGGAATCAGAGACAGGCACCCAACTCAGGTTATAGGGGTAAGAATTGGCAGGAAGGCAGGAGAAGAGTTTTCTGAGAAAGTAACACCTATCTTATATCTTAAAAGACGAGGAGGGGACCGGCGCAGGGGCATAGAAAGTTAATCCTCCACCTGCAGCGCCGGCATCCCATGTGGGCGCCAGTTCTGGTTCCAGCTGCTCCTCTTCCAGTCCAGCTCTCTGCTATGGCCTGGGAAAGCAGTGGAAGATGGCCCAAGTGCTTGGGCCCCTGCTCCCATGTGGGAGACCAGGAAGAAGCTCCTGGTTTCTGGCTTTGGATTGGCGCAGCTCTGGCCATTGTGGCCATTTGGGGAGTGAACCAACGGAAGGAAGACCTTTCTCTCTGTCTCTCCCTCTCACTGTCTGTAACTCTAACTCTCAAATAAAATAAATAAAATCTTAAAAAAAATGAGAAAAAAAAAGATGAGGAGTTAACAGAGCCATATAGGACAATATGTAAAACATTTAGTCCTTCCGGTTGTAAGGGATGATGCTCATCATGGCTGTGGGACTCTATAGTCACATTTACAGGTGAATTAAACAAGCAAGATCCTGCCAGGGGCCTTGGAGCTCTCATAAATATATTTGTTGCTTGGTTTGCAATGAACTCCGTGGTCCCACTTCCTACAGAATCTCGTAGATTTTTTTATACAGAAACCAGACGTTTGGAAAAGGTGAAGGAATTAATTGCAGGGCAAGTAAGAATCCGCATATAACTATTAAAAGTAAACACAGCAACCCAAGGATTTCTGTCACACTCCCCTCCCCCATCCAGGTCTCCCTCTCAGACAGAGTTTGTCACTTGTAGGAAGCCTCTCCTGATTCCTCCAACTGGAAGTGGTCTTTGTCCTTTCTGAAGGCCCAATGGTCATCATTGCCTCTTCTATGATATCTGCTGTGCCCAACTTTGAAAGGCAGGTGCAGAGTCATGTGTCAGTCTCAGAACTCACAGGGGATGGAAGAGCATGAGCTGCAGGGGATGTCACCCTTAGGGTTTGATCTGAGAAACCATGAGTGAGGAAGGAAGACATGCTAGAAAGTTGAATCGGCCTTGAAACAGAGGAGTGAACAGACACGGACACTTCCTTTCTAGTCTCTCCTCTCAGTCCATCCCTCCTGCCAGCAGACAATCCAGCCATTCTACCCAGCCCCAGATCCTCAGTTACCTGGAGCTGATTTGCTGGGTTATTCTGTGCTATTACTCAGTGTTTCCTGGCCTGGGAATGTCCCTCTCCCTGGTCACCCAACAAACACCTACCAGGCAATGCCTGTTCTCTCAACCCTTCTCAGACCTTTCTGTCTCTGCTCCACCTCCAAGGGAGTCCTCTACCCTTGAGGTTTCACTGAGGCTTCCATACACTGCTGCCACAGCACCTTCAACACCACCACCTTCCTTGGCACACCCTCTGCTGGGCGGTGAACAGCTTGCAGCAACACACTGTGTCTTGAGCATTTTTGTGGCCACTATGCCTAATGATTAGGCAGACGCATGATTTTGTATTCTTCTCTTGTCTTCCTTAGGGCCAGAGACTCCATCTTATGCGTTGCTGTGACCCCATTGCAGCACCCACACACGCATATGGTAGCCTCACAATAAATGTTTGTTGTTGAATGAATCAGTCTAGTCATTCGCACCCATACTTTAACATACCAACCCACAACCTTGTAATACTGAGCGTATTCTTTGAAAATGCCTATAAAAATGAAGTGCATTTTAAATATTTGTCAAGTGACCCCAATTTTGTCAATAGCTTTCAGTCCTCAAGCCCCAGTATTGCTCAAGGGCAAAGGTCACCATACCAGCACACCCCAGACACTCCCCCATGCTGTGAGAGGCCCAAAAGGTGACCAAATAGAAGGAGAAGGCTTCCCTTGATAGCCATCACCTATTTGTTGCAGTGGTCTCCTCATCACAGTTTTCCATACGTTTCTTTTTTCTTTTTTTCTTTTCTTTTCTTTCTTTTTTTTTTTTTTTTTTTTTTTTTTTTTTTTTTTTTTTTTTGACAGGCAGAGTGGACAGTGAGAGAGAGAGAGACAGAGAGAAAGGTCTTCCTTTGCTGTTGGTTCACCCTCCAATGGCTGCCGTGGCCGGCGCACCATGCTGATCCGAAGCCAGGAGCCAGGTGCTTCTCCTGGTCTCCCATGGGGTGCAGGGCCCAAGCACTTGGGCCATCCTCCACTGCACTCCCTGGCCACAGCAGAGAGCTGCCCTGGAAGAGGGGCAACCGGGACAGAATCCGGCGCCCCGACCGGGACTAGAACCCGGTGTGCCGGCGCCGCAAGGCAGAGAATTAGCCTATTGAGCCGCGGTGCCAGCTCCATACGTTCTGTGAATGCATCTCACAACTGAAGTTGGTGTTAATGAGAGAGAGAATGAGAGAGAGTAATTAAGAGAGAATACTCATATACAAATTTAGTCTCAAATTACATCGCATTCACTCCCTCCACCAACCTTCTACCAGAGATACAAATGAGAGCCTCCTGTCCTAGGTGTAAGGGCCCCACAGCCCTCTCTCTCACTCTCCTGCAGAGAGGAGTCAGGAAGAAGGCAGTGGTCACAGGCGCAGACAGGGTGCCCCACCTTATCACAACTGGCCATCGCTTTCTACTACTGAGACAGCCTCTGTTCCCCCAGAGGATAGAAGGGCTCGGGACCTACACACCAGTGCCAGCTTATGGCTTAATTGGTGCATTCAGGACGGGCCGCAGGGTGAAGTGGTGTTGGAGCATGGATGCTTGAGAGCTACTATTGGGCCGGAATGAAGGCATGAGAAGAAAAGACAATGCTGGGAGTGGCTAGCGTTCAGAGATTTGCAGAAGAGGGCTCTTCTTTCTTAGCTATCCGAGGTCCTCAGCTAGCCCATATATATGGTAGAGCCTTTGCCGAAATGGGAAGATGGTGACACCTGTGGGAAAATGCAGCCCCTCAGACCTGGATGCTCAGATTGGCAAACAGACCCCATCAGATTTCAAGCCTCAGCCTTTGCCCTCACTTTCTCTGCCAAGTGTGCTCTAACCTGTGTCACCATATATGTCAGACTTAAGATGGCCACCATGTCTGCAACTCACTCGGCCTACCTAAGCCCTTTCTGAACCTCCTGCAGCAAAGCCCAGATTCAATATCTACCTTGCACAGGACTGGGGCCAGAATGCCCATCTCTGTTTTATGGAAGGAAACGCTGTTACCTGTAACCCTTCTGCCCTTTTCCCACTTCTTTGCTTCCCCAAGTACCCTATCATTTCCTCACCTGTCTTTGTCCTCCTTTTCTTTCAGGTCAGGAAGAACCAGAATAACTCCATGCTACTCCCAAACAAGCCACTCTGTTCCACATGTCAAGAAATAAGCATGGTAGGCAGGGGGCATGTGAGAGATGGGCATGGGTGTCCCTAGGGCAGAGCACTACCCTGCCCCTATCAGAGCCCCACAGAGAGACTGTGATAGGGCCCCTTGCAAGGAAGACCTTAACGGAAGCTGCAAATGAGGAACACTGGCCTTGAGGCACCATCGCCTGGCACAGTGTGCCATATCTTCCCTAGTTCAAGAAGCTGAAGGAGAGCCACAGTAGGTGGACCACAGGGGAATAGATGAGATGAGCACTCTGCTTGGGATCCTACATAACTGCGTCCTTACAGGAGGTTGGGAAGTCATGGAGCTTCTCTGTCCCTTTAACATATCTCTGCCACAACATGTGTGCACACACCCATGGACCTCCTCCACCATCATGATCATGAAACAAGCAGCTCAGCCGTTGAGTTTATCATTAATTCAGTTCACACATCAGGAGGAAACCTGGGGAGAGACTCTATAGCAGTGTCTGGCTGGGGGTGGGGGGGGTCACCTGGCCTGGATATCTGTAACTTGGTGGGGAATTAGGGGGCAGGGGGCATATTGGGGATATGAAGAAGAAGGATATCACGGGTATGTACAAGGAACGGAGACAACCTCTGCCATTTGTCAAAGCTGACAGAGAAAGAGGCCTGTTTCGGGAGCCATGTTCCACCCGGTTAGGGTTAAGAACTGAGATCATTCAAGGGTTAGAGCTAGCATTGGTTTAGCTATTAGGGTCAGGGTAAGGAACAGGCTTCGGTTAAGGGTTAATGTAGCCACGTGGTTAGGTTTTGGGTAGGGGATGGGAAAGGATCCTTTTAATGCTGGTATCCTGTAATTCTCCTTTGCCCTAGCAAAGAAGATGGGGCTTAGCATACTGTGAGAGGAAGGGCAAGGGTCGGGGAAAGCAGGAGCTGCAAAAGGTGCCCCTCCACTAGGTTCTTGGCAAAAGTGCTTCAGGCTAGTATGTTATGAAAGAGAGCAGCAGTTCTGTGCAATTTTTATGAGGGATTCAGAAATCTAACTGAAGCTTGTGGCACAGCTGTACCTGGATATTGCAATCTATATTCATCTTCTACATCATTAGGATCATGGTGTTCAACATTTGCTTTGACTGCAGCCTGGGAAATTAAGATTAGGCTTTCACCAGGTCTTATTCCTGGAATCATTGTGCCCACATTTAGAAGGCCCCGACCCAGGCCTGACCTGGGCTCCGCCAGCTGGCATGCTTGATACTCTCACAGCTGTCCTCTTCTCTGACCTTTCTCTGACCTTTGCCCCTGCCCAGGCCTGACAGGAGTAGAACCCTACACTGTGATGTTACTGTTTGCTGCAGCATCTAACAGGAAGGTCCTCAAACACTACAGTTCCCAGGGGCCTTTCCCTACTGCTGTCGGAACCCAGTGGGAAACTACAGGAAGTTAGAAAATAGACATGCATCTCTCCCACCTATGTGGGATACATGGATGGAATTCCTGGCTTCTGACTTTGGCCTATCGCAGCTTTGGCTGTTGTACAGATTTGAGGAGTGAACCAGCAGATGAAAGATTCTCCTTCTCCCTCTCTCATTCTCTCTCTCTCTCTGCCTCTCCCCCTCAGCCCCTTCTCTGTCTCTGTAGCTTTGCCTTTCAAGTAAGAATAATAAATAAATGAATATTTAAAAAAAAGAAAACAAACACTAAAATAACTTTTTCAGTTTTACTTGCGTGGTAGGTGGTTCTCATTAACATGGGGAAGACCCATATGCATTGGTTAGCTTTTTGGGGGCCTATCATTGTTGTACCTAAAATGAAGTTTAATAAAGGAAATTATGATGCCTACCATTTATATCTCTACAACGTATATAGAACACATTATATATGTATATATGGAACAATAAATTTTCCTCATAAATAGTAAAAAAAAAAAAAAAGAAAATAGGCATGCAATAGCCTTGCCTAGCTATCTGCGGGGGGAGGGACTGCGGATTTGCTGTTGTCCCTGTGACATTCTGACTTTCTCAGAGAGGAAGTGGAGCTCCCAGGGAGGACATAAAACTACTCCTGGGGGAGAAGGGAGCTTCCTCAACTGAGTAAAAAGCATCTACTGGAAAGCCCACAGCTAACATAGTGCGGAAAGACTGGATACTTTTCTCTAAGATCAGGAACAAGACAGAGCTATCTTCTTTTACTATTTCTATCCAACATTATACTGTGTGTTCTAGCCAGGGGAATTATGGCAAGAAAGAGAAATAAAAACCACCCAGATTAGAAAGAAATTAGTACAAGCCAGCATTGTGGCACAGAGGGTTAAGCCACTCCTCACAGCTCTGTCATCCCATATCAGTGCTGGTTCCAGTCCCAGTAGGCTCGCTGCAGACTGAGTCTTGCTAATGCACCAGAAATGGCAGAAAATGATGGCCCAAGTACTCGGGCCCTTGCCACACACGTGGGAGATCAGGAGGGAGTTCCTAGCTTCAGCCTGGTTCAGATCCTGCTGTTGGAGCCATTTGGGGAGTGAACCAGAAAATGGAAGATCTCTCCCCTGTCTTTCTGTCTCTCACCATCTGTCAGTCTGCCCTTCAAATGAATAGACAGATTTTCAAAAGACAAAGGGAGAAGCAAAAACTCTCTGTTTTCAGAGAGCATGATCTCATATGTGGAAAGTCCTGAGCAATCCACACACAACTAAGGACCACAGCATTACAGGATACAAGGTGAATACACAAAGAGTATTTTAGTTTTAAATGTTAGCAGTGAATCAAAAAAAATGAAATTAAGAAAATAATATCATCTACTGTAGCATCAAAAATAAGCATTTAGGTATAAGTTTAACAAAAGAATATCAGATCTATACATCATCATGAAAAGAAATTTTAAAATAAGTGCAAAGAACCTCATGTTCATGGATTGGAACACTTGATGCTATCAAGATGTCAGTATTCCCTAAATTGATCTACAGATTCAAGGCATTTTTTTTCTCAAAATCTTAGATGCTATTATGGTAGTATTGATAATAGCAAAAAATGGATATAATTCAAGTGCTTATTGCCTGATTAATGGATAAACAGAATGTGTTGCCTATGCAATGGAATATTACTCAGCCATGAAAATGAAGATTGAAGCTAAGTTTTAAAAAGGTGCAAAAGGCTACATATTATATTTTCTGAAGCATCCAGAATAGGCAAATTCATAGAGACAGAAAATAGAAGTTGCCATAGATGGAGGAGGGGTGGAGGAGGGGTGGAGTGCTAAAGGCACTGAGTAGAGTTTCTTTTTAGGATGATGAAATGTTCTGGTGATGACTGCTGTGCAACTCTTTAAAACACTAAACACGAATGAATCGTGCACTAAGATGATGAATTGTATATGTGAATTATACCTCAATATAAAGATTAGCACTAGAATTTTTTAAAAAAATACAAGCACAAAATGGGTGAATCTGAAAAAATAAATAAATAGGTCCTGGCCTATTCCTGGGGGATCTTGGGCCAGGAGCTCAACCATTTTGTGCAGAAGACATAACTACTGTTGTCTGTGTTTGCAAATCACCAGGGGCAGACACCATGACATGTTCTAAGCTGTCTTTTATCATACCTCTTTTCAAACAACTCATCTTCCTTTAAACACACAAATTCTGTAGCCCTCCATTAACTGCATTGCTCTCTAATTAACATTTTCAAGCCCTTTAACAGGACTATATGAAGCAGATGTTTGGCCAAGTGTTTAAGACCGTGCTTGGGGCCGGCGCCGCGGCTCACTAGGCTAATCCTCTGCCTTGCGGCGCCGGTACACCGGGTTCTAGTGCCGGTCGGGGCGCCAGATTCTGTCCCGGTTGCCCCTCTTCCAGGCCAGCTCTCTGCTATGGCCCGGGAGTGCAGTGGAGGATGGCCCAAGTGCTTGGGCCCTGCACCCCATGGGAGACCAGGAGAAGCACCTGGCTCCTGGCTTCGGATCAGCGCAGTGTACTGGCCGCAGCGGGCCGGCCGCGGCGGCCATTGGAGGGTGAACCAACGGCAAAGGAAGATCTTTCTCTCTGTCTCTCTCTCTCACTGTCCACTCTGCCTGTCAAAAAACAAAAATAATAATAATAATAATAAAAAAAGACCGTGCTTGGAACACACTCAGTCCCTATCAGAATACCAGGTTCAAGTAATAGCTACATTCTCCATTCTAGCTTCCTGCTAATGTGCACCCTGGGAGGCAGCAGGTGATGGCTCAGTATGTGGCTTCTTGCCACCCACATGGGAGACCTTGATAGAGTTCCAGCCTCCTGGCTTTGGCCTAGCCTAGCGTTGGCTATTTGCAGGCATTTGGGAAGTATACCCTCAGATAGAAGATCACATTCTCTTTGTCTATCTCTCTACCTTTTAATTAAAGGAAAATCAATCAGTAATTTTTCAAATTAGAAATGGAATCACTCATTCATCCTTTGAACTTCTTTTGAAGTAGGATTATTGGGGCTGGCGTTGTAGCACAGACGGTTAAACTGCCGCTTGTGACACCAGCATCACATATGAGCACCGACTGCTCCGCTTCTAATTCAGCTCCCTGCTAATACTCCTGGGAAAGCAGCAGCAGATGTCTCAAGTCCTTGGGCCTTTGCCATCCAATGTGGGAGACTCAGATGGAATTCCTGGCTCCTGCTTCAACCTGGCCTACCCCTGGTTGTTGTGGCCATTTGGGGAGTGAACCAGCAGATGGAATCTCTCTGTGTGTCTCTCTTTCTCTCTCTCTCTCCTTTTATCTCTCTCTCCCTCTTGTAACTCTGCCTTTCAAAAAAATTTTTAAAGGACTATAAATTGGGCAGATTGTAGGTAGATACTCTCTAACATGAAAATTGGCTCCAAAACTCCATTAATATATTCAGTTCATGTCAACAAATATCTGTTGATTGCTGCTGTGGACCAAGTACTCAGGTAATAGGTTAAGTGCAAAGAAAATTAAAAAATCACACATAATCCCTGCCTTGCAGAACAAATAGATTGACAAATAATGACAATAAATAGAAATAGAAATCGGTCTAGTAGGGGGTGAATGAGGCAAGGAAAGTAAAAATCAGGTAGGTCTTCCTGGAAGAAAAAGAATATGCAGGGTTTTCAAGAAAGAATGGGAGTTTGCCACGATGCACTTTTTCTCAGAAACACAGGCATTGTCTGGCAACTTTGCTCTGATGTAACCTCCACAGCCCACTTTGTGCATTTAGCTGCATTTAGGGCCTTTAGAATGGGGATCATGACATTCGGAAGGAGATAGCTTCCTGCAGAGAGGAACCAAGTTGATATTAGAAAGGCAAGGTCTGCTTCTGGCACATTCTCAACCCCCTTTTATGTGTCTGGAAACCTCCTCTCAGGTTTTCACTAAAGCCTTTGCTGCCCCCCACCACCTCCAGATGCTCCTTGTTACCAGATCACCCCCTTCTTCCTCCTCCTCCTCCTCCTCCTCCTCCTCCATCTTTCTTTCGGGTAATGAATTATGAGAACAATCTGAACAAATGGAGTAGGTGCTCAGCATTTGTGTAGCATTAACACTTAGTGTTTTGTTTGTTTGTTTGCTATTTTTCAAGCATTTCTGAAAGTACTTGACATGTTGGTAAACTGCAGTTTTATTGTGCCATAAATTTAAATCAAGCCAGCTGGTACAAGTCACTCAGTGAGTAGAGCAGCTGAACACCTGTACCCACATCTTTGTGATTATCATGCTGTTGCCAAAGCTACAATAATTTCTGAAAATTAATAAAAAAAAAACTTCTTAGTGAAAACGAGTTTTCCAAAAGAAGACCAACATCTCGAGAAAGTAAATAGTTTGAAAAAGATCAAGAAAGAGATGTTTCTGAGTGAGGAATTATATATGTTGTACACTGATTTTTGGCCTAAAGGGCCAAAATGGGGCACTTAAAATTTTCAAGTGTAGTTCAAAGCACACTCATTCCTTCAGTAATTTGATAGAACATAAGGTAGACAATGACCAAGCAGTAGTCCAGGAGGCAGTAGGCTCTGTTATGAAGTAAAAATTACATGTGGGGGTGGCCTAAATAAATAAACAGGTTTTGAAGTCTTACTAATCTTAAGGTATCTAACTTCAAAATCTGATAACCAGGGAAGAACAAAGATACTCTAACTTCAGAGAAGGGTCCTATGGTTCATTCATATCACAAAGATGCATGAATAATTTTAAAAAATATTTATTTATTTATTTGAAAGACAGTCACAGAGAGAGGAAGAGACACACACACAGAGAGAGAGAGAGAGAGAGGGAGAGAGAGAGAGGCAGAGACAGACACTGACTCCATCCACTGGTTCACTTCTCAAATGGCCCCAACAGCCAGGGCTGGGTCAGGCTGAAGCCAGGAGTCTGTAATTCCATTTGGGTCTCTCATGTGGGTAGCAGGGCCCAAGCACTTGGGCCATCCTCTACTGCTTTCCCTAGGCACATTAGCAGGGATCTGGATCCGAAGTGAAGCAACCAGTTCTTGAACTGGCACCAACATGGGATGCCGTTGTTGAAGTTGGCAGCTTAACCTGCTGTGCCAAAATGCTGGCCCCACATAAATGACTTTGACATCAAATACAACTCAAGTTCACCAAAGTTACAGTGCGTTATTAATTTAAATCAGAAGGCAGTTATGGGCAATGTTCTAACTGAGACTTTCTTCCTCAGATACAATCAAGACCTCTGAGAATCCCAGATGGCCTCAAACTATCCTTTAAGAATTTTGTGAGTCATAGGTAAGCCAGAAGATTTAAACCAGGCAGTGACTTTAATTCTCACTATATTTGTTTGGGGATACAGGATAGGATATGGGAACACAGTAAGTAAGGTGTTTAGGGATGCTTGGGAAATGGGCTTATTGACTGGTTTCATTTTCTGGTTAAGACAGCCCAAAAAACACACTTTCACCATTTTTTCTTGAACAACTTTTGAAATTATTATGGAAGCTATTCTGTTCATAAGAACAGAATAAGGAATAGGATAGATTTCCTTGATAACTCGAGCAGAACTAAATACAAATTATCCATGTCAATGACATACCTGGTTCACAAGATACAGACGATCACACATATTGTGTCCTAAATCCAGGATATCTTCTGCTAATTTTTAGTGACTGAAATTCCTCTAATCTATTTATTTTGTTGTCACTTGCTACTTTCTTATCAATAATAGCATAAAGAAAAAACAACCAGTCTGAATTCTGTTTGTCAAAGTTTTCTTTTTCTGTATTAAACCATCATACAGAGGATTTTTTTTTCCCACCAGAGAAAACTTTTATTTAAGGAATACAAACTGCATGCATTTCATAAGTACAGCTTAGGAATATTATGATTCTTTCCACCATACCCACCCTCGCACCCATTCTCTAACCCCTCCTCTTCCTCCCTCTCCCATTCCCAGTCCCATTCTCCACTAAGATCCATTTTTGATTAACTTCATACACAGAAGGCCAACTCTATACTAAGTAAAGGGTTCAACAGTGTTCATGAAAAACACCCAAACAACAATGAAAACTGTTCTTCAACAATCAAGACAAGGGCTGTTCAAAGTCATTGCATCCTGAAGTTAATTTCACTTTTTTTTTTCAGCACTCTGGCCTCAGAGTCAGCCCTTAAGGCATTCGGATCTGGCTGAAGAGCCCATGAGAGTATTTTAGGCATGGAAAGCCAAGACACTCTGGGAAAAAAAAAAAAAAAACACAAACCCCCCCCCCAAAAAAAAAACCACCTAAATGAAAGATCTCTGCGAGTGAGATCCCAGTAGAAAGAATGGGGCCATCAAAGAAGGAAGTACCTTTCTCTGAAGGGAGGAGAGAACTTCCACTTTGACTATGACCTTGTCTAAATATGATCAGAGTCAGTGAACTCAAAAGGCTTCCATAGCCTTGGAAACTCATGACAAGAGCCTAGGGTGATTACTGACGCCATAAACAAGAGTGTCAATTTGTTAAGTCAACAACAGGAGTCACTGTGCACTTACTCCTCATGTAGGATCTCTGTCCTTAATGTGGTGTACGAAGTGAATTAATGCTATAACTAGTTCTCAAACAGTATAGTTCACTTTGTGTTTCTATGGGGGTGCAAACTGTTGAAATCTTTACTTAATGTATGCTAAACTGATCTTCTGTATATAAAGAGAATTGAAAATGAATCTTGATGTGAATGGGATGGGAGAGGGAGCAGGAGATGGGAGGGTTGCAGGTGGGAGGGAAGTTATGGGGGGTGAAGCCATTGTAATCCATAAGCTGTACTTTCTAAATTTATATTCATTAAATAAAAGTTAAAAAAAAAAAAACAGAAAAAAAAGAGCCTAGGGAGATTACTGACGCCATAAACAAGAGCGTCAAATTGTTAAGTCAACAACAGGAGTCACTGTGCACTTACTCCTCATGTAAGATCTCTGTCCTTAATGTGTTGTCCAATGTGAATTAATGCTATAACTAGTACTGAAACAGTATTTTACACTTTATGTTCTGTGTGGGTGCAAACTGATGAAATCTTTACTTAATATATACTAAATCGATCTTCTGTATATAAAGATAATTGAAAATGAATCCTGATGTGAATGGAATGGGAGAGGGAGAGGGAGATGGGTGGGTTGCAGGTGGGAGGGAAGTTATGCGGGGGGAGCCATTGTAATCCATAAACTGTACTTTGGAAATTTATATTTACTAAATAAAAGTTAAAAATAAATAAATAGTTTTCAATCCAAAAAAATCTCACTTTTTTAAAAGAAGCTTAATTAATTTTTTTCCAGCTTTTTATTTAATAAATGTGAATTTACAAAGTGCAACTTTTGTATTGTTGTGGCTCCCCCCCCAACCTCCCTCCCTCCCGCAGCCCTCCCCTCTCCCACTCCCTCTCCCATCCCGCCCTTCATTGAGTTTCATTTTCAATCACTTCATATACAGAAGATCAACTTAGTATAGACTAAGCAAGGATTTCAACAGGCTGCCCTCACACAACCGCACAAGGCATAGGGCATTGTTGGACTAGTAGTGTTGTTTTTAAGTTTCATAGTACAACACATTAAGGACAGAGATCCTACGTGGGGAGCATGTACCCAGTGACTCCCGTTGTTGATTTAACAGTTGGCACTCTTATTTATGATGTCGGCAATCACCCGAGGCTCTTGCCATGAGCTGTCTAGGCTATGGAAGCCCCTTGAGTTCACCAACTCTGAACTTGTTTAGTCAAGGCCGTATCACAGTGGAGGTTCCTTCCTCCCTTCGGAGAGGCCTGTTCAAGAAGTTTAATTAACTTTAAAGAAGCACCTAAGAATGATACATCTTTTGCCAGCACTTAGACATAATTATAATACATCTCTTTGAGGACAGAGGTCCTGCATGGGTAGCAAGTGCAGAGTGACACCTGTTGTTAATTTAACAATTAACACTCTTATGTGTGACCTCAGTGATCACCCGAGGCTCTTGACACGAGCTGCCTAGGCTATGGAAGCCTTCTGAATCCAAAAACTCCATCAATATTTAGACAAGGCCATAAGCAGAGTGGAAGTTCTCTCCTCCCTTCAGAGAAAAGTACCTGCTTCATTGATGATCACTTCTTTCCACTGGGGTCTCACCCACTGAGGTCCTTCCTGTAGGACATTTTTGCCACAGTGTCTTGGCTTTCCATTCCTGAAATGCTCTCGTGGGCTTTTCAGCCTGACCAGAATGCCTTAAAAGCTGATTCTGAGGTCAGAGTGCTATTTAAAGCAATTGTCATTCTCTGAGTCTGCTGTGTGGACTTCTTCCCATGTTGGAGCATTCACTCCTTTTCAATTCTATCTATTATTACTACCAGACACTTAATCCTATCCATATGATCACTTTAACACTTAAGGAGATATATTTACCACCCAGCTCAAGGGAATTTGGGGTCCCATGACAGGTTTATAAACTGTACCCTTAGAAGTATGTCTGTAGGAATGTATGCAGAATTATACAGCTTTACAGTTAACAAATTTCATTCACTTCATAACTACAACTTTAGGAACATAGTGATTTTTCCCACTGTGCCCACCTCCCACCCATACTCCCACTCCTCTTATGTTTTTACATTGTTTAAAAACTCAAAACAGGGACTGGCACTGTGAGGCAGCAGGTTAAGCCACCATCTGCAGTGCTGGCATCCTATATGGATGCCAGTTCAAAACCTGGCTGTTCCACTTCCAATCCAGCTCTCTGCTAATGTGCTTGGGAAAGTGTCAGCGGAAGGCACAAGTCCCTGGGCCCCTGCCACCCATGTGGGAGACCCAGAAGAAGCTCCTGGTTCCTGACTTTGGTCTGGCACAGCCCTGGTCATTGCACCTATTTAGGGAGTGAACCAGTGGCTGGATGATCTCTTTGTGTCTCCTTCTCTCTCTCTCTCTCTCTCTACACCTCTACCTCTACCTCTACCTCTATCTCTCTCTTTTCTTCTCTCTACAACTCTGACTTTCAAATAAATAATTTTTTTAAATCCTCAAAACATTGTCTCACCCTTAATAAGCCATCAGTGTAAGTCATCTTGCCTTGCTATCATGTGTTTTCCTGACATATGACCAACCAAAAAAGTATATGTTATTAAATTTAATTTCCCCCCATATTACAGACAGCAATAATGTGGGAAAATAAATGAGTCCTTTTGGAACCTTGTGTCACAGTGGTAGAAGTTCTGATTCCTTTTATGACATTAAGGCCATTTGTTCCAGACCAATATACAAACTCAGATGCATTGAAGCCATGTACCAGATACTTGCCCCAGGTGGACAAGGTCGTGGAGGAAATGGGTATTTGGACAATCCAGCCCCAGGACTGATAACATTTGCCTATCCTGTCTCTATACTTTCAAAGAGCTCTTCTATCAAATCATGATAAAGAATGAATTCTAATAAGTATTCTTTATCTAAATGGAAGACAACTATCTCAGATTAGGGATTTCTGAACAAGTTTACTCTCCTATGAGAGTCTTTTGAAAAAAATTTATTTATTTATATTTGAAAGGGGTGGGGAGAGAGAGAGAAAATCTTCCACCCACTGGTTCATTCCCATAAATGGCTACAACAGCTAGGGCTGGGCCAAGCTGAAGCCAGCAGCCCAGAACTCCATCTTGGTCTCATTCATGGATGGCAAGGGCCCAAGTATTTGGGCCATTTTCTATTGCTTCACAGGCACACTAGCAGGGAGCTGGATTGAAAGTGAAGCAACTCGGTGAATAAGGCCTTTGAAATTTGTCGCCTCATTCAATTTATCTTGCAAGTTCAGTACCTTAGATAAAGTTCCAATCCCAGAATCATTAGTTGGTTTTATCTTAAATAAATAGCTCTTATCCATTTAAGACTAAGGGTCAAACACATCTTATAATCATGTCAACACCAACCAGAAGTATCATCAGATTGGTTTTTGGTTCTTTTTCATTACATTGAAGTAAAATGTATCACTTCTGTTTGAAAGTTATCTTCGATGACTGTAAAGTAAGGAATTGGTTCTGTTTATAGCTTGTAAGATCTGTTCTGTAGTTTTAAAATCTCATTGCATATATAGGCAGATGGAACTGTCCTCACTGAAATAATAGGTATTTAAAGTGACTTCAGTTATAGCCTTTGAAGAAATTATGATAATGTTGAGTGGAAGGAATGAAGAGAAAAAGGAAGAGAGTGAGGGAGCAAAAAGAGAAAAAATGATGGAGAAATATTCTACATTTGTTGAATAGTAGAATAGGCAGAACTTAAATTATTCCATTCTGAAAATACCACTTGCCTGTTTGACAAAGATGGATAATAGAAGAGGTTTTACTTTCTGTCTTTTTTTTTTTCAGTTTCACTGAGTCTTCCAGAGGCAACTGAATAAAATACACTGGTTAGAATGGTGCATTTTTGTTAGCAATGCAAAAATTATCTTGGAAGTAGACACCATTAAATAAATGTAGATCTTTAGATAGATATCTCATCAAAGTTTACCAATTTGACAGTTTTTAGAAATTACACAATTTAAACAAATATAGAAATGTCTTGGGCTCATGCACATTTTGGATAAGGGTCATCTCCATAGCCTGGATGTCAGGAGAAATAAAATGTGGTTAGGACATTTTCTCTAAAGTTGGAAGTCTAACCAAAATATTTTCAGTTTTCCTCTTTAAGGGTATATTATTGATATGGAAGATTTGTTACTTTTTTTAGAAATTGGAGGGTTCTTTCCTTAATCCTTCCTATTTTTAGACCATACATGTTCTTACAGTGACTGCCACTAAGGCAAAAGAGCTTGAGAATTATTGATCTTTGGACCAGTTGTCTTCATTGCCACAAAGTGAGCTACTCACCAGGTTAACAGTGGTGGATTTGAGAGACCATCATCTGTGTTGTAAAATGTATAAAGATGCATTCTTTTCCATCAAGCCTTAGCCAATTAACATATATGTTTTCTTGCTTTTTTCAATCAGAACGATGAGCCTTCCTCAACCCCAAACCCAGACTTTTCCCAAACCTTCCCGTGATGACATTCCAACAGGTTTGCTTTCTTTTAGAGTATCTGCTACTTGAAACATGTGATGCTGAGGGTAATAGAATGAAAAGTTTAATCCCACAGATAATTTCTAAACTTCTGAGAAATTTTCCATTCTCTATCCCTTTCTCTTTCAACTATTGCCATTTGATGGATTTGAACTGGTCCACAGTCCTCCTTTCATTCCAGCTCTTACCTGTCCTCTCCTCAGGCCTCACTCACCCTTACCCATGTTGTGTTCCTTCCCAGGTCCTCTCCATGCCGTGTGGTTCTGGCCAATAATTCACCTGTTGAAGAATTTCCTTAGGGATAGGACACCAACCAGATAAAAGTCACTCTACAGGCAGTCCCCATGGTACCAACCAAAGTGAGAAGGGAAATCCCCTTAAGCAGCCTCACTGAGGCCCTGCACCTTTTACCCCATAGATTCCCTAAAACACCAGCCTTCTCCCAACTTCTCAGTGCTGTTCTTATGTTCACTTGATATTGACAGAGGCAAGGACAGAGCAACTTGAACTCAGACTTCAGCATTGACCTCAGGGTCATGTGACACACACTAACCCCGCCGCAGTGGGACTCGGGTCTGGATCCTACTGTTGCTGAACAAGCTTCATATTCCCACCTGTAAAACCAGAGTTTTGTTCCTCTGAGAGCTGAACACTCAGAATAAGCAGCCCCCACCTTTTATGAGTCCAGAAAAACTGCTGACACTATACTGGCCCTCTGGGCTGCAACGCCAACCCCAACAGTCCTAGGCATATGTAACCTAGACATGTCCAAGCTGCAGCTCTTGGGGCCGCCACCCACCTGTGCTGGGTTCCCTGCAGACACATTACAGATACCAAGTGGCTGATTCATTCCAGCAAACATTACTGCCAATGATTATCTAACTTCTTCCATTGGTCACAGCAGAGATTTCTAATATTCATCCAAACCTTCTAAGTTTCCAATAATTCTTAATGAAAACTAAGAAAGTGGAAAGAACCTATCCCTATAAGTGAAGGAGATTCTTTTCTGGATTCACTTATTTTGCTTTGAGCCCAGAATTTCATGACTCCCACAGGCTCTTGGTCTGGATAAACGTTGGTGCAGATGCTAATCACTAACTTGAGCCTCCCTCCCGGCACAGTGGTGGGCAAGTGATACAAAGAACAGAAAGTTAGGATTAAAAAGTTCTGGTCCTCAGTCCATTTGTGTCTGTGGTGTCTTCACTACACAGATGAGGCCAAACTGGATCCTAGATTTGCAGTCCGTTCATCTCTCACTCTCATGCAGCCGGACTAAGGAGCTTGTTGCGGGGAACTCTGGGCTTCGGTTCCCCCAGGCAGCCGGTGATGCCCAGTGGGAAGGTGCTATTTTGTGTAGTGATTGACTATCCTTCAAACCCTGTGTCTTCTGGAAAGCTTGAATACTATCCCAATGATTTTGTAAATCAAATCATATCTGAAGAAGAATTCAGGATGGTACAGGTTTTAAAAAGCCTTAAAATAAGTTATTTCACAGAACAAAGATTCCTTTTGAAATGCAAATACTTTCTATCCCTACTGTAGCCTTTCTGTAAGTTACTATACATCTTTTTTTTTTTTTTTTCAGAGAAAAGCACTATACATGTGTCCCTGAAGAGTCTCTTGAATATTGGGTCTTCCTTTTCATTTAGTACATATTACAACTCCATATATTTTATATCTTCATTTGTAATGAAATCAGCAGTGACTCCTAATACTTTAGTTTTATTTTTGGCCTCTTCAGCAAGATTTGTAGAAGCTTAAATGTTGTGGGATATAAGATGGTTCAGTGAAAAAGGAATGCTTATGTGAATTTTGAACCTGCTTTCTAAGTTCGAAGAAGTCTTTGTGGCCTGTGATTGTTTTGAATTCCTTTAAGGATAAAATCTAAGTAGCTTGTCCTTCCTTCTTGTGCCTTCCAGAGAGCATTCACTACAAACTGCCCATTCTGGGCCCCAGGACAGCTGTCTTCCATGGACTTCTCTCAGATGCCTACAAAAGTTTGCAGGAGATGGAACAAACTTCTTTACTCAGGAAGGAACCAACAGGCAAGACAGTGAGGACAAGATGCTTAGGGAGCGAACGACCTCACCACGCCAGTCTCTGACACTGACACTGGTGCCTTCTCTTGATTTCCCCCATCTCCAAAAAGATGACTCCATTTTGCTTTCTAAGGTGCGCTGGTGTTCTAATTCTTGCCACTATCTTTTCATTCATTTCTCCTGAGAAAAAAATGAGTTAACTGACACAACTGAAATGAAACACGAGCATCTCTCTCATTTTATTTTGTTAAAGTTATTTTTTATCCGCATTATAATCAACAACATGCTTCTGTTTCTAAGACAAGCACTTTCTGTGAAAGTTCTTTCAAATCTTTGTTCAGGGCAGGGGCCAAAAATGGCTCTAAGCAGTCCCCCAGGAATTCAGCCTATTAAGAATGAAGGAAAGAAAGGGAGGTCACCACTCTATCCTTGTCTGTCATTTCACTTGGATGGATGACAGAGGCCACTGATGCAGTAACTGCATGTGGTGAGTTGTTGCAACCCCTGAGTGCAGGAACTATGTCTTGGTTTGTCCCCTCACCCCACTGCCTTGTGCCCTGCAAATATCAGATGTGCAGGTGATCTTTGCTCAAATTCATTCCAAGTGCTTGTATTTTGAAGTGTGGTTTCATTTCTGAGGATTTATGCTTCAGAATCTGTCCTGGTCCATGTGTGAGAGAGACAAAAGAAGCTCTAGGCTATCAAATACTATGTGTATGAGCACAAGTGCTCCATGGCCTGTGGAATCCTATGATCCTGACTAAACAGATGCTGGGCTGATATGTTGGAATTGTTGGAATTAACTCCTGTGCTGACTGCATCTGAAGAATGGACTTCAGAACCGGCACCTAAAGTGGTCTCAATTCCTGCACAAAAGCAAGCAAACAAAACAAAATTAAAAAATTAAAACAAGCAATCAAAACCAGAAAAATTTACTTGGTTGTCTAGTATTCCTGTATACTATTATTCTTGGTTTCAGATCAGTTGGAGTTCAAGAGCTCCAAAAATATTGTTTATCAATTATGATTCCATTTCAGGTCATTGTCAAAGGGGAGACATTTCACAGATAATAGTGGTTCTTTCACTTGAGGTACCTATAGCTTTGCATTGGGACAGGGTAGGGGAACCTGCCTCATGTGTAATTATATGGAGGTTTTGAAATAAAATGAATATTATGTGGTTAGTAAGATGAAATATTTTTTTCAATCTCATTAAGATGGCTTTATTTCAAGTACTAGGGTGTTTCTAAAAGCTTATAAAAAAGAATAATATTGTGGCATAGGAGGTAAAGTCACCACCTGCAACACCGGCATCCCTTATGGGCGCCAGTTTGAATCCCAGCTGCACCACTTCCAATTCAACTCCGTGCTAATAGCTAAGCAGCAGAAAATGTCCCAAGTGCTCATGCCCTTGCCACCCACCTGAGAGACTGGAAAGAAGCTCCTGGCTTCAGCCTGGCTCAGTCCTGGCCATTACAGCCATCTGGGAAGTGAACCAGTGGATAGAAGACTCTTTCTTTCTCTCCCTCCCTCTCTCTCTCCCTCTCCCTCTCTTTCTGTCTGTAACTCTTTCAAATAAATAAGAATAACTCCCTGGTGTTTGCTAGTATAGTAGAAAAGGATGAGCTGTATCAATGTCTCTTAAACATTTTGGTCTTGGGAGAATTTTATATTATTAAGAAACCCAAAAGAACTTTTTCAAAATGTGGGTTATAGCTCTTTTTAAAACTTTTTAATAAACGTTTTATTTCAAAACAGCTTTAAGTTTGCAAAACAAAAATTGTGGAGTACAAAGAGTTCATATATACCCCACACCCAGCTTCCCTTGCAATTAACATCATACATCAGTGTGATACATTTGTCACAGCTAACAAACCAAACAGAGCTGCTCCTGTTTATTTTATCCAAACACCCTCCATTCTCCCCACCCCACAGCCTCTGGTAATCACCTGGACCTACCAGGGCATTAGCACACTAATGAAACTCCAACAGCAGCTTTGTCGAATAGTTGTTCAGCTGGTGAGCTTTCTCTTGGTTTTATTCATACAAGCAGATCCAGAAGAGTGTAGCACTGAGGATGGAATTACCTAACTTGAGAAATGCATCCCTACCATGCTTCTTTACATAAGTGATCCAAAGCCACCATTTCAGTTTAAATTTGCAAAGAGGACTATATGTATCCTGCCTGATTTTTCTTCACCTGTAGTAATGTTTAAAATGGACCTTCTCATGCTCACCACCTGGACACCTCTTTGTAGTGTGAGAGCAAATGTTGACTGTGTCATTCATCCTGGCCCAGTCTTTACTGGGATGGATGCTTAGAGTAATAATTTGGACTTTTCAGTTATTGTTTTACCTGCTGCGTGTTCCTAAATATCATCCAAGAATCACCCACTTCACTATAAAAATCTAATCATAATGTTTTTCTTATCAGAAGCATTTACAGTTCAAATCAATTTTGAAAAATGAGTAATCTTAATTAATTTTTTTTGACAGGCAGAGTGGACAGTGAGAGAGAGAGAGAGAGAGAAAGGTCTTCCTTTTGCTGTTGGTTCACCCTCCAATGGCCACTGTGGCCGGCGCACCACGCTGATCCAAAGCCAGGAGCCAGGTGCTTCTCCTGGTCTCCCATGGGGTGCAGGGCCCAAGCACTTGGGCCATCCTCCACTGCACTCCTGGGCCACAGCAGAGAGCTGGCCTGGAAGAGAGGCAACCGGGACAGAATCCGGAGCCCTGACCAGGACTAGAACCCTGTGTGCCAGCGTCGCAAGGCGGAGGATTAGCCTATTGAGCCACGGCACCGGCCGAAAAATGAGCAATCTTGAGTAGTTTTTTTGTTTGTTTGTTTCAAGGCAAAAGTTTGATTTTGCTGTGTTTTTTTTTTTTTTAATGAATGCTCACAGACATGACTCAGACATATTGCTACTCTCATTTTCTTTCAATCCAACAAGGAACTTAAAATCCAATCAATCTGTACAATTCCTTTACTGTCAGAACTGCAGAGAAATTCTCTATCCAGGAAAATCCATACCATAGCTTAAAAAGCCAACAAACAAACAAAAATCAAGTATTTAAGGCAAGGTCATTGTTACAGCCGATCGCCAGTTTAACCCTTGAAGATCCTACAGACTTCTATTGCCATGTGCTTTGCTCAGGATCACTCATATTTTCCCTCATGCTTGACTGTCAGAGCTCACATGTGGCCTGTTAGGAATCTACTGGCTCCCGGACCAAGTGCTGTTACACATTAATATTGCCCATCATCCTGAATATGTCTAACAACCACTTAGCTCCTAGAATCTAAGTGTAACAAGAACTGCCTTGCTTCATCTTAAGAAAGAGTCTGTTGAGAACATCTTGTTTGAATGTAGCCTTACTCAGGTTGAGAGAGGTCTTAGTGATAAGGAGAGTATAACCCAACAGAGCGCGAAGATTTCCAAGAAGAGGAAGCGCATGGGCATTGTTTCTGTTAATAAATCTGTAACTGAAATTCTTAAGCTTCAAGACTAAATTAGAAAAAAATTTTGAAATAGAGAAAAATTTAAATAATCCCTAGGGAAAATTGGGACAATCAATTGCTTTAACCATGTCCCACTCAAAACCATTTTACTTTGGCACTTTATTGAATATCATCCCTGTTTCATACATGTAATTCTTTACTCTGTGAATAGTATAATTAATAGACACAAGAACAATATGTCACGCTGACCCCATATCCCTGCAGGAGCTATCCAGAGATATTCAGAATGAAGAAAAGGCCATTGCTAGGCTTTCCAAGCAATAATAAAAAATATACAAAGTGAGATCATTGAGTCTGGGCCTATGAAGCTACAAAAGGTGTGGGTATTAGGACCCTGTCTTCGAGGAACTTATAATTTCAATGTAGAATCACACACACAACATAAAGAACACATGTACAAGCCAGTGTGTGAGTCACAGGAGTTACAAAGTGAACACCCAATGATTACAGCAATAACGCTCCCCATATCACCAACGGTCCAGCTCTCTGGAAAAGAACAAAGAGGCAATTGTGTGACATTGTTGGGAGTTGGTCAGTGGGGAAACAGCCATGTTCACCCACAGAGGATGTAGTCTCTGATTCTGTGCAAAGTATTTGGCAAGACATTTAACTGCCCAGCCATTGCAGTGTAGAATAGGGAAACTGCGCACTGGCAGATGACCTCTTTCATATTCCTGAATCTCTTGAGATTTTCAACTCAATCTCCTGTGGTAGGGGTGGGGGTCATACTTCAGATATCACACAGCCAGATTCAAGGAACTCATAACTTCCTGGATCCTCACACTGAGAAAAATGCTTGAAGAGTCAGATTAGGGGCAGGTATTTGGCAAAGCAGTTAAGATGTTGCTTGGGATGCCCACATCCCATATGGGAGTGCTTGAATTCAAGTCCTGGATCCATTGTTAAGTGCAGCTTCCTGCCAGGGCACACCCTGGAAGGTAGCAGGTGATGGCTCAAGTAGTTAGGTCCCTGTCACCCACATGGGAGACTCAGAATGTTCTCCTTGCTCTCAGCTTTGCCCTGGCCCAGTCCTGGCTGTTGTGGGCATTTGGGGAGCAAACTAGCAGTTAGGCACTATCTATCCCCCCACAACCTTGCAAATGCATAAAATAAATAAATAATATGTGCATTAAAAACTCAAAAAGAGATATTGGTAATACTTGTTGGCCCTAAAGAATGGGAATGAGAAGCTAGAGGGCAGAAATTGGTGGCAGGGGAGGGGACAGCTTGCAGACGGTGTCTTTATTTGTTCTTTTTGAATGTTGACCCATGTGAATATTTACTGACTCAAACAAAGAACAAGACGAAACAAGCAACCTTTTTGAAGTTCCCAGGGTTTAATCTAGCTTTGAAATTGGAAACTTGATAAACTATCAACAGAATTGTTTGTCTTCCTGACACTTGAACAACATAGTCTTTGAATACTACAAGGTCCAGGCAAATGTCCAGTTCAAAGAATAAATTGTATCTCTGGTTCTTGGAATCTTTGTCGCTGAAAGGTTAGAATTGGCAAATAGGTACAGACATTTCATGCTTATGTAGCATTTTAAACTTTTAAAATCCCCCCATTTGGCCGATGCTGTGAGTAGGTTAATCCTTCACCTACAGTGCCTGCATCCCTCATGGGTGCTAGTTCTAGTCCCGGCTGCTCCTCTTTCGATCCAGCTCTCTGCTATGGTCTGGAAAAGCAGTAGAAGATGGCCCAGGCATTTGGGCCCTTACACCCACTTGGAAAAACTGGAAGAAACTCCTGGCTCCTGGCTTTAGATCGGCCCAGCTCCAGCCGTTGCAGCCATTTGGGGAGTGAACCAGCAGATGGAAGACCTTTCTCTCTGTCTCTCCTTCTCATTGTCTGTAGCTCTACCTCTCAAATAAATAAAATCTTTTAAAAAAATTGCCATTCATATCAAGGAACATTTATATTTTATTGTGAAGACACTCAAAACTACAGAGAAGCAGGAAAAAAATAGCACACCAAGAACAGCCATGTATCCTCTCACTAGAATCTACAATTGTCAATATTTTACCTCATATTCTCTATCAATATAGTATTTGACTGAATTATTTTAACAATATCATGATACATTACCACTAAATAGTAAAACTTATAACTCCAAAAAAGAAAATAAAGTCTTCAGCACAGCACCATTATCTCACCTAACAAAAAAGTAAATATTTCTTGATTGTTTTATCTCCACTCAGTTCACGTTCAAGTTCCCCAATTTGATGCCAACATGACCATTCTGGTTGACTTGTTCAAACCCAAATCAAATCAAGGATAACACATTGCATTTTTGCCTCCTTTAATCTAGAATTTTATTCCAGCTTCTTCCTGTCTGGTGGCATTGACGTGTTGGAGAGATCAAGAAAATTGTTCTGCAGAATTCCAAAGACCTCTTTTAATACCACCCCTCTTCAAGTTGTTAATTGCAAATGCTTAAAATGCTTTCAAATAAGGGCCATATACGAACTAGTTTTCTTTTTAAATTACAAATCTTCATGTAATTGCCAACTAACCAGATAAGCAAGGGGCAATGCTCTTACCAAATTGAGTTGATACAATCTCAAGAATGAACACAGAATTCTGATACTTTTTAATTGTGTAACTTTGGTCAAGTTGCTTAACCTTTATGGGTCTTGGTTTCCTGTGCTCTGTAAAGAGAACAAAAGTATCTGTCTCAACAAGAAGATTATTAAAATGATTGCTTCAATAAGCAAAGTTTCCATTTATAATCTCTGGGCAGAGGAGACATATGTTTTCATTTAACATTTGAACTTCTTAAACTAGCATTTATCAAATCCGTGTGTATGCTGGTAAAGAGAACGATTAGATGGGCATTTTATTACATTTCTTATTACATGTCTAACACAGTGATGTCTTCACACTTCATCCTTATGCTGTACAAAATAGGTGTCATTATCCCTGGAATATGGATGAAGAAATGAGATCTCATAAAGGTTCAATAACTTTCACAGGTTCACTGCGCATTGGGAATTGAATTTCAGTGTTTTTGAATACACAGTTGGAGTTCCTGCCACTACCCTCTCTTCCTCTCTGATTTGACTCATACTCACTTCTTGGTCAACAAGAGTACAACATCCAGGATTTCCTATCAACCAACCTTGTTGGAGTTAAGTTCAAAGTAGCCATTCCCTCCCTCTTCTACTTTCTGAGCAATAAAACTGACTACAAATGGAACAAGACCAAGCTTCATCTTGCTAGATTTTCCCAAGGTAGGAAATATACATGCATGCTGCAGGCAAAGGCCTCTGTTCTCTCAGCCTGTTAGACATTCAGGTTTACTAGAATGTGTCATGTCTCTGGAATGAGAGGGCAGGGCGGCACCAGGGGAGCTGGGTTCTGGTATGATACTTGCCCACCAGGTCCAACAAGGCTTGGGTGGAGGGGGTTAAGAGTAGGAAGGCAGAGTAGGCCTGAGGCCTGAGAGCATGGCAAAGTCAGAGGACACAGGCTGTACCAGTCAGCCCTGGAGTTGTGTTTAGCAATTGGAGTCCAAATTGGAGGGATGTAGCAGTAGGGAGAGAGCTGGTGGTATTTGTGTATGTGTGTGTGTTATGTATGTGTATGTGTGTTGTGTGTATGTGATATGTGTGTGTATGTGATATGTGTGTTGTGTGCATGTGTGTATTGTATGAATGTGTGCGTTGTGTGTATTGAATGTTGTGTGTATGAGTGTGTTGTATGTATCTGTGATGTGGTGTGTGTGTTGTGTTTGTGTGGTGTGTATGTGTGTGTGGTATGTGCTATGTGTGTTGTGTGTATGTGTGTTCTGTGTAGGTGTGTGTTGTGTGTGTATGTGTGTATGTGGCATTTATGCATGTGTTGTATGTGTAAGTATGTTGTGTTTTTGTGTGAAGTGTGCTTATGTGTGTATATGTGTGTGGTATGTGTATGAGTTGTGTATTTATGTGTGTGTTGTGTGTATGTGTATGTGTTGTCTGTATATGTATATGTGTTATATGTGTATGTGTGTATGTGGTATGTGTATGTGTGTGTTTGTATATGTGTATATCTTGTGTGTATGTGTGTTGTGTGTGTATATGTGTGTGTTTGTGTGTATGTTTACATGTTGTGTATGTGTATGGGGTACTTGGAAATGTCAAGGGCAGGAGTTCCTCATATTGGAGTCTGGCTCCCTGTAATACAGTCCAGCCACGACAGGTTCAAGCGCCTGGATTCTGCCTGAGTAAGGGAGTTGGCCAAAGCAAAACCGGGAGGTCCAGGGATTCTCAATGCAATCATATGATCTCTGGGGGTATGAAGGATAGTCACACAGTTAGGAATTGCATTCAATATTGAAATCTTCTACACGTACATACACATATATTTAAAACAATTTCCGTTCATTATACAAA